CATGCCAGTCACATTTGCTTTTATTATGACTGTGATTTTTACTGATAGTGCTGCAAGGCCCCAGCTGAGAATGGGGCACTACGAGGCAGCAGGCAGAGATGTCATGGGGGTGGTAATAGCCCCTGCCCTAAAAGAGAACTGTACCTCCATGTTTGTGTGCCAGCTGCACAGCTCGTGATCTTCCTACATGTTTCTGTGCCACAAAGGTCTTCCTGTATCACCAGTACTTCTGAATTATTTGTTGAGATGGCCACATCCCACCCTGAGTACAGGTCCTCTCTGTTATCTGTAGCTTAGCAAAGCAACTGTATTATGCTCCTTTGTGCTACATGTACATGACAGAGACTTTGTTTTGCAGCTATTTAACAGGCATATTCCCTGTCTCAGGTGTAGTTCAGGTTGTTCCCGTGTCCTCTGGCACAGCATTTCCTTGTTACCTGTCAGGATGCTTCTCTGACACCCATGGAGCATTTCTGTATCTTGTGTCGAAGGTTTACATTGAACACGAACTGTGTGCTCTCCTTTGGCAGCCCCTTGGGAGGAGAGATGTTTCCTGTCACATGCACAAGGCCAGTCCTGATCACGCTGATAGCAACTGTGTGCTTTTGTAAGGGATGCAGTGACTGAGGCCATGGTTCATCTCTCAAGCTGTTTGCTGAGATGCTTCTGATTTAAGAGAAATGTGTCCCTGTGTCACAGTACCACAGAGGTTCCCTTGGCAGTGAAAGGGAACTGGGAAAGGTGGTGATGGTACCTAATAGCACTAGTAGCACATTTACTTAGGTGGCATCCCCAGACTCATCCTGCAGCTGAAGCCTTGCTTCACCAGAGCAACCCTCCAACAGCTGGTTTCTTGGCAAATCCCCGTGCCTTAAGCTTTTACTCCTAGCACTATTCTTCATCAGTTGAAGTGACTGTTGCCCATCTCAGTGGCATTCTTCATGGGATCTGCTAGTCTTTCCCAAACCAAATTTTCCATGTGAGGCCCCCTTCACTTTCATCCACAGCCGTTTGATGGACACCATCTCTTCCCCAGTCTTCTCTGCTCCTTACTGTCACCTTTGCTCAAATCCACTCAGTTGTCAGCTCCCGTATTTTGTGTATTATGATATTTGAGGCTTCTCCTGACAGTCCAGCTCACAATCATATGCAGAGATGGGAACTGCAATTTCTATCTAAAACCCTTGCAGTTTCAGGGAAAGAATGAAAATGCATCCTCTATAGGTTTTGACACCAGAAAAACAAACACAGGGGATTTACAGTCCTTTGGTTTTGAAGAAAATATAATGATCCGTGACTGTGAACATCTCAGTGTTAGCAGCACAAGACATATAAATCTGTCGTTCAGGATCATCTGTGTGAAACTTTTTCTGCTTCCTAAGTAAAATCCATATGCACAGCTCATATTATTGCTGTGTGAAGTTTGGGATTTGTGTACCCTATCGCGATGAAGTCCAATACTACTGCAAGCTGTTCAGACAAGGTCCATTGTGAGGTAGCCTATAGACCTCTCTCAAAAGTTTATCTTCTTTTGTAGATTTTAAAGCCCAGGCCATAGCAGAGCCCCCCCCCTCACCCATCCAGAGCTCCCACCTAAAGCATTGCCTTTCTCCTTAAAACTTTTCCACCTCTCCCTATCATTCCCTATCTATTTGCTTGCTTTGATCATTCTGATTTCTTATCTAACCCTGTTCCTTCCACTTCTCCTCCCTTCACCCCTTCCTTTTATTTCCACTCACTACACAGGTCTTTTCTTATCAGCTGGTCCTGAGTTTCCCAAATACACATACGCAGTTACGCACACACATACGCTGACACAAATAAATAAATAAATAGAAAGGTCAGTGAGCAGAGCAGCAATAACCCCTAAAACAGTACTATCAGAGGGACATGATTGATCAATTGAATTCCATAGCGGCTCAAAAATGTGGGATTAAGTAGTGTATTATACGCACAATGAGTTGAGGCATGATGTTCATTTCAAGTTCATTTCGCCAGCCCTCTGCCACCAGATCAGGCAATCAATAGGGGCAGCAGATATCATATATCACCTCTCTCCGTGCTGGGGAGAGAGCACCATAATCTCTCGCAAATTTAGAGTGACAGATTTGTCAAGAACTGAAGGGCCCCTGAATAAATGAAGGAAAAGAGACTCCTACAGCGGCTTGGGAAAACTGTGGTTTCAGCTTCTTCACACAAAGGCATGGCCTGTGCACACCTAGAAGACACACATGCACAGGGCTTTGCAGGCAGACAGGAATGGCGAACACATGTGCATGTATGCAGTAACCTGTGTAACCACCCAGGGCAATGCACTGCGGTAAATCCGGTTTAATGATGATCAACAGAAGTTTGATTGGATAAGTGAGCACCCATCCTCTCACACCAAACACCATGCATGTTGTAGAGCTGCCATTCTAGAAAATCAAATATAGCCTAAACCAGTCGCTGTGGACAAACGGCTGCTCAGGAATGTATGGTGTTGCAGAAGCTAAACAATACAAGAACAATGATCTACTGCAAAAATACCCACGTGTATTAGCATCGTGGTGTGCACAGTCATGCACACTGACTGACACACATGGAAAAATCCTCAAAGACAAAGAGCTTCAGAGGCTGCAGACAGGTTGCAATAAGGGCTGATTCAGAAACACTTGTTTTTTTCCCCAAGCCTGGACCCAGTTGTTCTGTGCCAGCTTTCTGCAGGAAAGACCAGAGGAAAGGTCCTACTGGAACTGGGAGCATAAACCTTGAGCCACCATAGTCCTTCTGAAAGCAGGAACAGCCCAGTCCATCTAAAATGGCACTGACACAGTGTGCAGTACACCAAGCCTGTCTTTACTTTATTTTCTCTTAGTTGAATCTGTCATGAACTCCAGCTTTCAGGAGCTTCAGAATTTTCCCTCATGCAAATATGCCTGAGGAGAGGACAAAATGCCAGGGATCAGTGCCAGTGAGCAGCTCTGCTCTGGCTAGTGGAAAAGGAGAAAAGGCTGTTCGAGGGAAGGCTGCTGGCTGGGACAAATCAATATGTAATATTTTCTATGGTCTTGCGAGTGGTACTGTACTATGTTACTGTATATAATGTACTATTGATTATATCATATCATATAATCACCTATAAACGGATATATCTCATAGCCAGAAGGCAGCAGGCTCAGTTATAACTCTGGGCCACCAGTCAGGCATTACTGTGCCAGGAAAATACCCCTTGGCACCAGCCACAAACTAAAAGCCGAAGTGGCAGAGTGGCATGGTTCTGGCTGTTGCACAGCGAATGCCACTCCAGGCTCCTGGGAGCGTCATGTGCCCATGAGGATCTCACAACTGCATGAAGGAGGGAAAAGATCTATACAGGTCCCTCAACCACTGTCATGACAGACAGCAAGTTTCTGATATTCACAGACTGAAAGCCACCAAGGAAGGCTGAAATATGAGGACTAATAGTGGAAAACTGGGCAGGTAATTGCAGCGACAGAGTGAGAATCTGATTTCAGGTTAGAAAGGGTGATAAGACAGTCAGACTTGTGTCTGATGAAGCACAGTAGGTAGAGATTCAGCATGGAGGGTATGGAAGTATATCAGCATGGATGAGACAGGGGATTATAACCAGTCTCACCAAAGTTAGGCTGAGAGGTGACAGCAGAAAGATACTCAGCACAGCTGGAGAAGATTATAATGAGCAGATTTGCCTCAGATGAGATGAGGGATTATGACAAAGGAAGATACACTTCAGCTGGGACAGGAGGTTATAAGAGACTGACTCACCTTGGATGTGACAGATGCTAATAGCAGAAGACTCATATCAGATAAAAAGGGGTTATAACTGAGACAAATTCACCTCATTTGAGGTGGGGGATAACAGGGGAAAAAAAAAACACCAAAACCAGGTGGGTGATAAGATGGTTTATCACAGGGAAAGATTCACTTTGGATGGGGCAGGGCATTTATAATGGACTCACCTGGGAGGGGTTAAGTGTGCTGTAAGAGACATGGTGTGGCACAATAGAGAGAGACACCTGGAACATGGCAGGAAGCACTGCACTAAGATTGGACTGTGTCAGAGAGCTATTGCAGGGACAGAGGTGCAAGGCTCCTACCAGAAAAAGGTTTTTTTCCTAGTAAGGACAAAGGAACACCAGGAAGGCCAATTCTTACTTGAATAGGACTAGATTTTGTAATACAATAATTCAGTTTGAATAGGAAGGGGGACTGACAAAGATTCAATCTCATTCTGGAGGGAATTTTATAACAGAGATATGGGTTGTGATAAATCATGAGCTACACACAGGAGAATGGGGTAGAGATTATAACAGAAACCAATGTATGCTGGATGGGACGGACACTCCACAGAGGGAGACTTGTCTCTGGTGAAATATGGAGTCAGAAACAGGATCATTTGTGTTACCTGAGGGGGATGAGAGAATGTGATGATCCCCTTATACCCTAGGTGCCCATTACCTGGGCTATGAGACAAGATACAACTTCGATTGGGACTGGGGAGCTACAGTAGAGACTGACTCCCTTCCAAGCCATAAGACAGCCCTCTTTCAATTCCAGGCTTCCTCAGCCCTCTCCAGTACAGATCCATCCTCAGCTCTCTGGTTCCTCTGTGAGCTGCCTCTCCAGTAGCCTTCTAGCGATGCTAATCGCTGTGCTTTGCTCCCATTTTATGCTCAGCAATGGAGATTTGGCAATTTTTAACATGGAAAATCACTGGAACCGAAACTCATCTCTGAGCTGAGCTCCATTCTCCACAGCCTCACTCATCCTGGGCAGCAGAGTCCCACAGAGCCCACAGGAGCAGGCCGGCTGCCCCAGCAGACAGAAGGGGGCTTCGCTCTGGTCCCTGCAGCCTCCTCTTCCCACAGGAGTGGCACAGCTCCCTGGGTGGAGGTGGAGGTGGAGGGCCCGCTCTTTCCCACTCTGTCCTTGTCCTGCCTCCCTTTCTGATCCAAGCCAGGGTGGTGCTAACTCCCTGTTTTCTCTGTGCCCTGCAGATGTATCCGAGGGCTCAGTTCCCAACGGAGATTCCCAGAGCAGCGTGGACAGTTTGCGGAAGCACCTTCGAGGCGACACTTTCACCCAGCAGCAGCTGGAAGCTTTAGATCGAGTTTTTGAGCGTCCTTCTTACCCTGACGTCTTTCAAACATCAGAACACATCAAATCTGAGCAGGTGAGGGCCTAGCCTGGTATGGGGACCGACAGGCACCCATAGGATGATGGCAGGGAGATTCTCTCACCAAAATCACTCTCTCCCTCTTCACCCCTTATTCTCACCCTAACCTGTAACTGCACATACACCACATTTACATTTTACAGCACTTCCTAGTTCTAAATATATCCCTGTGCTGATGCATGTGTATATGTGAGCTCTACCTCTCCTTGTGAACTTGCCATATACGTGCACACTGTGCTCTCCTTAAATCCCCATGTCTGCCTTTCCCTCTGCACACACACCTGGAGGTGTGCAGGTGTGTTCTTGCCATGACCATGCAAACACTGCTGTGCATGTTCACCAGCACACAGCCCTGCATGGAAACTCCTGCACTCTCATATCACACTGGGGACCAGTGAGCCACAGGGTTGGGCTTTAATGGAGCATTTTCCTTTATGGCCCAGGCTGAGACTGATCCCATCTCCAACCTAGTTTTCTGCACTTCTGCAGCTCTGCCCCCCTTTCCCTTACTCCCCCGCTCTCCTTGGCCTTTTATCCCAAAAGCTGTTTGTCTTAATAAAATGAAAATCAAAAGTCTTTTTAAACCGCCCCAAGCCATAAACCAACAAAGGAAGAGAAGGAGAGGCTGGCTGTGGACTCCCTTCATCCCAGAGTCCCTGGGTTTATTACAATGAATAACCTTTATTTACTTTCATTAGACTATTAAGCACCAGCACAGTCATTTTTCCCCCTGAAACTCTGAGCAGGGCCCATAAAGCAAATCCGAAGCCTAATTGAGTTCATTTTAATTTCTCTCCGATCACAGCGAATTACTCTGGTGATAAATCAGGGGGCAGGCTCACCCCCAGTAGAAGGCCTAATTTGCAGCTAATTACAAAACTGATTTCTACAGGAAGATCAATACAAGAAGGAATTGGAAATGACTAGGCAGTCCTAGCCAAGCAGGGACAGGGGCGGGGAGGGGGCAGCATGTGGGGAGCCCACTGGAGGAGGGGGAGATGTTGGGGAGGGTGCTGGGGAAGCACATGGAAAAAAATGGAGCAGAAAGAGCAGAAAATCAGATTTAATTTAACGTAATATTAATCAGAGCAACTTTTCCTGCTGTTTTGTAGTCTTCCTGGTCTCCCCAGCTCCTGCGTCTGGTCCTGAGGCTGCCACAATAAAAAGGCAATTACCAGAGCCTTTCGGACAGGACACCCTTTCAGATTCAATGGCTCTCCCCCTCCCACCCTTCTGTTAGCCATGTGGCTCCCCCCTCCCCAATTTCATACCCCAATGCACAGAGTGACAGAGGCAGGGGATGAGGCTTCTTTGTTTGTTTTTAAAGAGCTAGGACAGAGGTAGCAGTGGAGGGGAGGCAGAGGACTCTGCAGAGAGGCTGGCTACAGTGGGCCAACCCTGGCTGCTTCCTACAGCCTGCCTGCTCCAGTCATGTCACTGCAGTTCTTGTCATCAGGGCAAACACCTCCCGGCTCAGCCAAGAGGAGGGGACATGGGTTTCCCCTTTCTTCTCCCCTGGACTGGCACAGGCAGCCATCTCCACAGCACTGAAAGAGGGCTTGGTCATCCCACACATAACAAGCAGGATCCCTCACTCCTGTTCCCCTTCACAGCAGCAGACTGACGGGTGGGATAGTTCATCCCAAGAGCCCCTCACAACCCTCTCGTCACTTCGTCTTCTCTGTTTCCTCCTCCTCCTCCTCTTCCATCTGTGCAGGGGTTTACATCTCTCCTCTTCCTCCCCCCCATCTGTACACCCTTCCCATTCTCCCGGTGCATCAATAGCGAGCTGTCTTTCTCCTCTCTTCCCCAGGGTAATGAGTACTCCCTCCCAGCTCTGACCCCTGGTCTCGATGAAGTCAAATCAAGTCTATCCACCTCTGCTAACCCAGACCTGGGGACAAATGTGTCAGGACCCCAGACGTACCCTGTGGTGACTGGTAAGCTGCCTGACCAAACAGCAGAACCAAGCTTTTTAATTTCCCTCATCACCATTAGCTTCTGCTTTTTCTGCTAATGCAAGATATCCCTCTGTGGCAAACATGGTAATAGACAGAAAGACTGTGGAGGACATAAGGGCTAAAGAGAAGCTTGACATTCAGAGTATTGGCAGTTTTGGGTACACCCAGAGGTGTGAACCAAAGGCAGGCAAACCCAGGCGTGCATCGGGAATTTGTGTACCTAGATGGGGCTTAGGGATGGATGTTGGTGGAGGACAGATATATCCAAATAAGCACTGTGAATTTTTCCTTTGTGTCTGAGAACAAGAGGGTTGTGGCTTACTCGTGATCTGAACTTGGTTTTGGAAGCAATAATAACTTAAGTTTTATTCAGCACTGGCATTTGGAAGGGGCATTTGCAAACTAAATACTGAGGTCTGCAGAATGGTGACTGCTAAACTTCCTCTTCCTCAAGCCCGTGAGTCTCTCATCCCCCATATACCTCAGGGGATGTTATACGTAAGGGGTATAAATTTCTTTTGCCAACAGCAGCCATTCACAGCCTTCCCCCCTTCCCTCACATGTGGGGACATTAAACACAGGTGTGTGTGGAAGAGCAGGAAATGAGAGTAAGAGCATGACAGCAGAGGAATTGGGATACACAGAAGGAGAAAGCGATTTCTGCAGCAGCTGCTCTTTCCTGGTGTCACATGCAAGGCCTGGGCAGCACAGGGCTGTCCTGAGGCCACGAGCATGCCATCCTGGTACAGGTGTTAGACTGCCTGTCCTGTACATGTTTACAGCTCTGAGGAGACATTCTGGTGCCACAGACCTTCTTCTGAGACTTTAGTTGCCACTGGTCCCTGCTCACTCAGCTACCATAGGACTGCACATCTCTTCCTGGGTAGCTTAAAGCAGCTGGTGAAGCCTGAGTGACTTGCTCCTCCTTCGTATATCCCCTGTTTCCTACAGCTGCTTTGGCACCTTTGGAAAACTCATGGTGTAAGCTGAGAAATAACTCATGACAAAGAGGTGAAAGACGTGTAAGCAAGGGAAGGAGCTGTTGCCTCTTGGCCAAAAAGCTGTTCTCTGATGGCAAAGAATCAAGAGCACTGGAGTCTGTATCTCAACATTTTCTTGCAGAAGCCCCAGCTAATAGCTCCTCTGGTCAAAGCAGTTTATGGCCGAGGCAGGCAGTCATTCACAGTTCAACAAACACTTAACAAAGGCATATTGTTGCATACAACTTTTGGTTACCAGGAACCTTGGGACTGGGCATCAGTAACAGTTACCCCAAATACAGAGAAGATCCAGTGTGCGGTCTGCAAAATATCATGGAGAACCATGGGAAGGTGAACTGCATATTTGGGGAGTGTCCAGAAAGTGTGACATCCCCAGGCTTTCATGGCTTTTCCTGCAATCACACTTGACCCAGGATGCTTGTAGCCATGTGGTTTCTTAGCCAACCAGAAAAAAATGACTCAGCTGTGGCAAAATTGTTCCACTTTCCATTATATTTGCATATGCAAGACAAAACTCAGCTGGCACCCATCTACTATTTAGTAGATCTCCATCTCTTACAGGAAATACTTTATGGTCTATGGAGGACAAAGCCAGTAGGAAAGCAGTACTGTCCTTCCTTCATGGCAGGCAGATCCCCGTAGCTGGATGTGAAGGTGAGGCACCTGAAATCAGTTTAAGATTCAGACGGGCATTAAAATAATTCTTTTTAGTCCTTCTGCCTAAGTGAAGATGGTGCATTCTAGCCTGTTAATAATAGGAGCAGAATTCCTGAAGGCCTGGGACACCGCACAAGCTTTGGACAAGACCCTCACAAGGGGACAGCAGGAGACAGATTGGGTCTCACAGAAGATGCTGTGGGCTGAGACAGAAAATCTTCATGTCCCCCCACCCTGTGCCTTTCCCACTCTGTTTCCTGCAACACTCCCAGCTAAGCTCAAGAACATCCCCATCTGATCCATCTGGATCCAAGAGTGAGAAAAGTTCATTTCAGACCCAGCTTGACATTCCCAGGTGGCAACTTAGCACTAACATCTCAATCTGTATGAGACATTTCAATCAGTGCAGAGTAACAAAAGCAGAACTATTAGCGTTGGGAGCTGTTCACTGGTGGTAATGATGGGGAAACTCAGAAACTGGAAATGGAAAGGGGAAAAAAACCCTGAACACAGTGGAAGGCAGAAGGGGAAGAGGGGCAGAGATTTTTTCCTTTACACTTAGGCCAGGATCCAATGTTTGGATTAATGGTGCCATTACCCAAGAAAGGACTTCAGATAATGTTCATTCTTAAAATGTTTTTTTCTGGCAATTAAATGGTTGCAGTTATTGATCTTCATCGATCTGATATCCTCAATTTGCATAATCTATTAAAGATGAATGATTCATGATATGTTTGCTGTGGGGCTGGGCAATGCTTTCAGGACCAGAGAGCTGAGGAACTCAGTGCTGCCTCCTGATCTACCCCAGGCAGGAAATGGAAGAGGCTGGGAGCAGGCAGATTTCTTTGCTGTCACCCAGATCCCTCTCCCAAGAAGGGATATTGGAGCAATAGCTAGTACTGAACTGCTGACTGCCTGTTTTGCTGCTATAGTATCATCTTTGAAATGCCTCTTCGTTCTTGTCCTAGAGCAGTCTGTGAACCCAGGTGGTATCTGAAACAAATGTGAAACAAGTCTACCCATGCAGAGTGCAAACTCCATGTGCAGTCACTTCAGGATGCAAATTTATCCCAGTCTATAAGAAAGTCTTCCCAGCTCAGTCTTCCCAGACAGAAAAAAAGTATCACTAGCTCTTTCCAAATTAAAGCTGTCTGGCACTGGATTCTTGCCCTCTGTGAAGCCTTCAGAGAAAGTCCCTCCTTAAAATCTTGCAATGCAGTGAGATAGTTAAGTACAGATGTTGCTGAAGTCCCTTAATCTGTCTGTGAGCTCCCTAGAACTGATGAGCTAAAAATGCTGCGAAACAGGGAGCCACCTCCCCAACATGAGGAAGGTCTTCCTCAAAGTCCTGGCATCAATTCAACACACAGCTTAGCACCACACTTACATACAGCACAGCCTTGCCCAGTGCTGCCAATATCAAATACTCCCTTTCCCATGATTATTCTAGATGGTCTATTTATTACTCACACCTTCTAAAGCAAATAAACAAAAACAGTTGTTTATTATTTATTATGGAGCAGACAGGTCATCCTTATTTCTCCCCATTAAGTGTCTGCAAACAATTCCCATGAACAAGCTGACACTTAGGGGCTAGCTGGGCACTAGGCTAGGAAACATGTTCTCACTGTGCTTCATACAGAACAATGTACATGTTTTCAACTTCCTTGTGAAGTATCAAAGAGAGAAATCTCTTAAGGGGTGCCTGAGAGCACCACCTCACTTATTCCTTCACACAAAGCCCATTAGACCAGCGACATCTTGCCTTGATGTTTCATGGCCATTATAGATAGACAGGTGTAGACCCTTGACAGTTTCTTGGACAGCATATTTGGACGCCAATGAGATGTCCTAGAAGCAAAAATCCAAGCCTGAACATTCCAAGATAAGGAGAGCACATGCAGTTGAACACCAAGAACATTCAGAGATGTTCTTCTTCAATTATTTCTATTGAAGGTGAACAGTCCAGGCCCAAATATAAATCCACACAGGGATAACAGAAAACTTCAATAGCTTTCTTTTTACTCAGTGGTTTCCACAGATCTTTGAGTCTGGAAGGTACTCAGTAGCTAACACCCAAGAGGTGAGAGGAGGAGAACGTTAAGATTTTGACACTGGCAGCAGGAGTCCTCTAAAGGCACAAGGTTGTTCACAGAAGCCTTGAATCCTTTGAGAACAAAGGTTAAGTTCCTTCTATAAGCACCATCAGAAGTCACATATTTTGGAATAGGCATGCATGGAAGAAGTGAGGTGTCTTCAAAACAGGTTCTGAGTTCCAGGGATTTAGATTAAGTTTGGCAGCAGAGTTCCAACTCAATTATCTAGCCCAAAAGCTGCTCAACAGAGAGCAACTATGGGAAATAAAACACAATGGACTTTTAATGTATGGTTTCAAACTTGCTTATTAACAGACTACTAAAGGGGAGGATTTACCTACTAGATGGATCGTAAAATTACAAAAACATAAAGAAAAACTTCCCTTAATTGAATCCTAGCACTTTTAACTAAACAGACCTTGTTTGCCAGCCCACTAGAGTCAGTGAGATCTAGAAAGAGAAGGTAAAAGACAAGCCCAAGAAAAACAGTGCAAAGCACTTCAGGAACTTCCACCATTGACTGAAATGGGAGTAGGTATCCCCTTCTCCTCCTGTGAGGAGGTTTCTGAGTGTTTCTGTTCTATGATTAGCACCTATTAACAAGAATAGGTTACTTTTAAAATCATCACCACCCACCAAAGCAGCTACCATGTCCTGTATAGAAAATATTTCTTCCCTTCTGGGAAACAAATTTTTCTCTAAAGCAACGAATATCATTCAGGGTGAGAAGTCTTGATGTCAACTCACACTGCATCAAAAAAAGGCACCACCAAAGCACAAACCCCATCAATCTCACTTTCCTCCAGACCTCCCCTCTCTGGCATGGGGTCAGATTTTTTTCAGTTTAATTTTTTTAATACATGAATGTATGCAAAAAAAAACCCCAACTTCAGAATTACTGACATAAAGGCTACTTTATGTATGAAAGACATACAAAAATAGTACTTAATCAGCATCTGATTTCTATGAATGTTGTGATGCTAAGGAAGGGGAAATCACTGGCTCCAAACTTGAATCCAAAGTTTTTCTAATCTTTGGAGAACTCCAGCCTCCTGCAAGGTGAAAAGATATTATTTCCTTTGTTTCAGCTTAGTGAATGAACAAAGAGAATTTTGTTCAGTTCAATAACCAGGTCACTCAAAAGTAGGAAACAAACTAGGATTTGAAAAAGCAGGAGCATTTGTTTCCTCTGTCAGTGCCTGAATTAAGCTTGGTGTGAAAGGATAAGATCTATTAGTTCTAAAATCGGATTTTGAAATCAGTTCAAAATCCTCTTTATATATTCCCCTTTCCTTCATTTAATAAGTCATTTTTAAAGCAACCTTCTTAGAAAAGCTTGCTTTTTCTGTTCCAGTATGTTTAGGAAGTCAGGAACTTGTGGTCATTTTATTTCATTGGCATGAATAATTACAAATACTGTTTTAAATTTAATTCTAATTTCCATCCAAATATAACTTGACACAGATCACAAGTAAGAAGTTAATAATCTAATAAAATAATAATAATAATATGAACTCATCATTCACTATTTTCTCATATCATAATATGTAAAGACAAATTATATTAAGCAACATAATTGCTTGAATAATTGTGCACAGATGCAGTTCATCTACTTAGCATGAACTGAAATAACCATGTTCAGTGTAAAGTTTGTATTTGTCAAAAATATTTGTTACCACCCATAAAATTCAACCTTTTAGAAAGGTAACAGAACAAAGGTAAACCAAGTTGATCCAGCTTGCTGTTTTAAATCATGATTAAAATTGATCATTACATTCAGTTGTACTTATATGCTGTCTCACTCCAATCTAGTTTAGCTTCTGACATCAGTGAGCAATGTCCCTGGTCAGGGCTTGACTGAGCTAGCTTAAGAAAACCTCTTTAACAAACTGCTATGGGCCCCAGATTGGCTTTGGTGATGGCAAATCCTGCAGATGCAGATCCGTAGCTGCCAGCAGTCCATCAGCCTGTTGGGCACGTCTCTGGATGCCCCAGTGCCGTGAAAATGGAATACGATAATAGTTCTTGTGACTGCTACAAGGCTGTTACTGTCCTGCCTCATCAAAATGAAGGAGGTTATTTTCTGTGAGCAAGCCTCTCCTCTATTTAAGATGAGGAACTGTCAAAAGTAGAAGTCCGCAGGACCTCCAAATTTTATCAACTGTTTCCCATCCCTAAGAAGAGATAGTATCTTCTTATCTAATCATGGAATTTGGAAAGGCAAAAGGTGTTTTTACTCTTCCCCAAGACCAAATGGCTGAGGGTGATAGATGGTCAGATGAATGATCCCTAGAACAAACAGGAATAGCGGGGGGGAAAGGAATCACATAAACTATTTCCATGCACCCAGTGGAAGTTTCACTGATAATAACTTTATGATGCTGAAGAAGGCAGTTTGCAGGCTTCAAAGGCATATTGAAGTGAGGAACCCAGAAATGGATGGGCATGAAAGAAATAATGTCTTCGCCTTCCTTAAATTAGCATTTAAGTGAACAATAGCAGTGAATTACAATAATGTCATGTAATGACAATAGCAGTGAATTGGCATTCCCAGTCTGATTTCCCTCAGCACAGGGACAGGACTGCAGGCTGCCACACATTCTGCTGCCAGACAAAAGCGACTCTTTTAGAGAAAATAACTTATCGTCTTCCCAACAATTCAGTTTTTGCCTTTTCTTTTGAGGCTAAATGAGGGATCCAGTGAGTATGGCTGTGATGAAAATTTGTGTGATGTAGAATTTTGCCCACTGAGAGAAAAGACTGTGCTTTATATCTGAGCTATGCAGCACCTGTCAGCAGATGTTAATATCTTTTGATCTCCATCAGCCATACTGGATTTAACCAGGCCAGCTGCTTGTATCATTAAAACTGCCCACTGCAGCCTTTCAGAGAAATGGAGAA